TGTTTGTACTTATTTACTTTAGTGTAAGATGGACAGGGCATGTTGATAAACAAGCTAAACATAGCAACTAAAACTTAAAACACGTTGATCAATGACAGTAACTTCGAGCATATTATCCAAAAAAAGCACGCATAGAGGCCCTCAATACGGGCCTCGCCCTGAAAATGGTAAGAAATGAAGATGTGGTTAAATTCCCTTTTTGACTTTCTTAGAGCGGTTGTGCTAGAGAGACTTGGCGATGATATCCTACATTTCCAGGTCGTTGTTAGCTGAAGCCTGTGTTAGGTACAGCGCTCTGCAGCAAGAAGGAGCGAGGAGGTGAGACACTAGATGGGTGTTCGGGGGCGGCCGTTTCAATATTTTGCGACTTGCGGGCCTACTCGACTTCAAGGAGTCTCGCGTAGCGGACCCCCAATACAGGGGGAGTGGGGTGTCACGTCACTAAAATGCCCCACCCATCACCCTTATCCCTCCCCCCCCCATTCCACCACCGAACCGAGCACCTTTCACCGCCATGGCTGTAGTTCTGATGTTCTATAGCCTCCCTCGACCGTCTGGCACCTCGGTCCGTTACACTCCAAACTCCGCTGCTAACTGTTTGTTCTCCAAAGGATGACCAGGCGAGCGGTGCTGAACTAATTTGAGAATGCAGCATGTCCAAATTTTGGTTATTTCATGCTTCTCTACTGGAGTTTTTGCCAAAATCGTCACAAAACCCATAGGAAACAATTCCACTCTCCATCTCACGACCTTATCAATTCCCAGAAATGTGAAGACACTTCTACGGCCATGGATCTTCAAAGCTTCCTTCCTCAAAAAGCGCAGGCCACGGCGCTCGAAGATTACTATTTCCATACTCGCGATGTCCACCGCTCGTCTGTAGTTGGCCAGACGGTCAGTCAAGCCTATGAGAACCTACGCCACTCATTACGATGTTTGCAAGGGACGTGCTCTGTCATGGGTGTTCCGGCAGCCGCGCCCGAATGTGCTCGACGAATAAGCGGGAAATAGATTTAACCCAAAGTAACAATGACAACGCACGCGCACAGCAGTGAAGGCCGGTCCCGGTGGGCGCAGCAGTGTGTGTGTGTCGAGAAATTTTTGGCGGACGCCCCATTCACCGGATCAATCAGTCTTAGACCCCCCCACGATCACCGTTGCCCCTGTCTCCGAACAAGTCCGACTCAGCGAAATTCGCCCCAGCTTGTCGTCCTAAAAAGACAGAGCCCGAGGAACCGGGGGGGGGGAGAGGGGGTGATTTGATTAAAAAGGTGGCAATACAGGGCAATGGTGTGTGCCGGCGGAAGGTTGGGCGTCCACGACTTCCGTAAGAATCTTCATCGGGGCAAGAAGTGGTGGAGCAAAAAAAAACGTCCAACACACTACCTCTTCAGCAGTCTTCGGTGACGCCGTAGCTATGATAGGCCGTCTGGTCCCGGATCGCCAAAATAGCGACGCCGCCCCCCCTTCCGCGAATATCCCCAAAGCGACCGTCGGCTGCGTTCGACATCGGCGACCGGAACGGATTGACTCGGCGCACATACAACTTCTATCGGTTCATCCTTCTGATAACGCGAAACATCTCGAACAGCTAAAACGGCAGCGGAGCGTAATAGATCTTGTTACAAAAGTGAAGTGGGCTGGACGTTTACTTACCAATTACTTAGAGCTCTGAGAGATTTTTTTTCTGGTTCAAAATTTCAGCAAGACTACCAAATTGACTTTGAATGAAGGACTATTGATTATTACTAATTATTATGTAGTTAGTTAACTCCTTATTGATTGATTAGTTATTAATCTATTATGTATTTATTATACTATTGCAAATGTATTGCCTCATGAAGGCGTGAAGAATAATTAAAGTTCAGGACACACAAATCATTCCGTGGGACTCTGGCTACTATACCGCATTAGTAGACCTGGCAAACGTGAGGAAATTTACATACGCTATCATCATCTTGAATTTTATGAAATTTCTTCTAAATCCTTTTTATTTTGCTTATGAAAGTATTGTATTTTAGCCACATATCGCTGCTATTTAGGTATCGCCTGTAAATGCCCATACTAGGGCGGTAAGTAATTGTAGTGCAAGTGGCACGCTTTACCCACGCGCGCGGTGATCCAGGGACGCGAAGTCCCTGGTCGTCCTTGCGGAGATTCCGGTCGCCAGACCAAAGCCTTTCATCGCTCAGCTGGTTCGGTTAAGTGTTGGTAGGCAGAGCTTGGTCGGGTAAGGAGGATAAGAAAACACTGACTTGGTACATCGGCTGGCCCCCGCAAGTCATTGTATAGGCCACATCGCATTCAAACGCCACTACGAATGTACAAATGGAAGTAGAATGCGTGCCGCATCCCAAGACGGGATTGATCAACGGCAAAAGCTTTTATCCTAATGCCATTATTAAGCTTTCTATTAACACCAGTGGAACAGTAAAGGATCTTAAAAAATGCTCAATTCGATGTTTTTTTATGAGAATGGCTCAAATCACTGTTCTACTAGTGAACATCACTATTTTACACCACTACACTACGCTATAATACCTAAATTATTTGCCTTCAAAATCAGAGCTTAAATATTACTTGCTATTATTTGAGGCTCATTCTTCTGTGCAGTTGGCGGATGCGTTCCAGAATCACGACGGTGTAACGGTGTTGACGATTGCGGTGATCTCAGTGATGAGTTGAATTGCCCAGGTAAATCAATCGATATATTGATTACGCCGAGTAACATTATTCATAATTTGTAATTTGCCCACAAATCACGATTGTTTTTTTCATGAAGAAATGAGAACTGACCTTTTGAATGTTTCTTCAAAGTCACAAAACGTTTGAAAAACGTAAAGCCTCTGATGTACACGCTGTTTACCTCGATTTATATCGATATATCGATTTTTTTCGAGACCATTGCCTTGTTTGATACTTGTTCTGCAATTACGACAAGGGCTCTTGCTGGAAATGAAGTAGACTTTCAAATTTCTCCCGTTCGAAATAACGATACGCTTGCTTTTACATCGAAATTAATAGCATCCTTCATTATAACGTGCTCATTAAGCGCCCATTCCGAATTTGGCCTTGTCTTCAATGAGAAAAGGATGATATATCCGGTAATTCTCGGCGACTGAAAGAATACTCGCAGTCGTCATTACGAAAAGGGACGGAGACAGACGAACTGTCGTGTTGATAGAAGCGCCGATCAATAAACCGAAAGTTTGTCATTGTCCTTATGGTAAACTTTGGCAAATGAATTTCACAGAATCAGGAGAACACTCATTTTACGTGGGCGGCAATAATAACCATCGCTCAGAAGAAAAGGAATAATAGATAGTTATATGAACGCTGGTATTGACTTGTTGAATGAAGGAAAGACCTAGAAAAGAGGAATTAGTAGTGTGAGGATCGATTGAATAACTGTGCTGTGGTGGGCGGACGCGCGTGCACGAGCAAGAACAGATCAGACCCACTGGTAGGAAATTTATTGTTGAGAGACTAAAAGGCAACTCACTATAGTATTACCTTTTTTAAACAGTAATTAACATGGCGGCGAAATGGTGATAGTGGCAAGATGCACGCTTCCCAACGCAAAGCGCACGGGGATACAAGATATCTGGTTGGTGCGTTTGGCCCGGGCCAACGCAAGCAATTACACCATGAGCTCCATTCCTTCTTGAGCCTAGGAGGGATAAAACAGCTGACGAAGTCCTGGGTCGTGAGTCGCCACGGCCAACCAAGCCTTCCATCCCTCCCCTCTTGTCTGGGAGGATAAAAACACTGACTTGTACATCGGCTGGCCCCCGCAAGTCATTGTATAGGCCACATCGCATTCAAACGCCACTACGAATGTACAAATGGAAGTAGAATGCGTGCCGCATCCCAAAAAGGGATTGATCAACGGCAAATGCTTTATCCTTTTTTTATTTATTTTTTTCTTTCATCTTACCCTTCGGCCCCACTTCTCCCCTTCTCTATCGAAGTATACGAAAAGTGAAGAAGCAGGATTATGGAGAAGATTTGCGTATTTGCATCCCTCCTAGGGTTGGTGGAGGGGTCACCGCGCGACATCGCGCCTGCTTACACTTGAAAGTTACGCGCCAAATTCTGGTGGCTGCCTCGCAGAGGTTATGGTCTCCACTTGGCGCGTAAATTCAAATTAAAAGTGGATTTTGCGTCGTGAGGCTTGTCCCAGAGTCCGCGATCCGTCGCGCGATTCGCGCGAACCGCAAAAATTGCAAGTGCACCAGTTGAACATTTGAAAAACGGAGAATGAAACAAGTAGAGTCATTGACAGACATCAGTAGGCCGATGTCATAGTTTGCGAATCGCTGGATCGAGCGTTGCGCCAGCGAATCGAACGTTGCACCAGCGAGTCGAACGATGTACCAGCGACTCAATAGTGGCGGGACCCAACGTTCAAAGGAAGCCCGCACTTTCAAACAGTGTCACGTGACAGTGGACCCTTTTTGAAAGTGGCGGACTGGCAGTGGACACTGCTTCCTTTGAACGTTGGGTCCCGCCACTATTGAGTCGCTGGTACATAGTTCGACTCGCTGGTGCAACGTTCGATTCGCTGGCGCAACGCTCGGATCCAGCGATTCGCTAGCGAATCGCTCGATTCGCAAACTATGACATCGGCCTTCAGCCATCACCATCAAGCAGAAATAGCGGCGGGATCGGAGTGAACTTCGCAGTATTGACCAGGGAAGTTGTGATTTCTGTGATCCGTCATGGGCTGACACCAGCCTCTTGCCACACATCTGCGCCGCAAATTTTCGACATTTACTCTGCTACTGAATTAATGAATTCACTTTGCTTCAACAACATGAAGCAATGAGAGACTAAAAATTTGAGAGGAAGAGTGATTATAATCAACATACATCAACATAAAGCAGTCTTCACTAGCCTGGGTTTGAGCAGATTTCATCACCAATAACGGTATTACTTCAGTGTTGGCAACGCTTTCGGGAACGAGGAGTGAGAAATTCGTCGTCACATCGTCGACAAACATGATTATCGTTCGCTTCAGAAGTGACGCCGCCGTTCAAGCACGCGGCTTCCAGGCACATTGGAGAGCTAGTGAGTCTTCATTGTTTTGCGAGTATTCAAATAGAACGGGATGTACCCTCCCCTTCAAAAAGCGAGAAAGTGTCGGGTGCAGACCATGCACCACAAGTGACGACGGCCTTCACAAAATGTTAATGTTTTCTGCCAATGAAATGATTAGCCTTGCAGTTGTATTCTATCGATTGTCACTAATTACAACTATCATTTACCAGAAATCAGCTATCACTATGAACAACTTCTAACCAGGGGGGGCGGAGGCAAGGGGCGGTATTCAATCCTTCCCCCAGGGGGATATATCCCCCTCCTCTGATTCAATCCTCTCAATCCTCTGGGGGGACAAAAAGGGTTGCGTCATAGGACCTAGCATACCTCTGTGTTTCTACCTGCCAGACAGTTAGAGCAGCGCTTCTACCTCCACCGATGAGCACTCTTTCCCCTGAGGGGTCGCGCTGCTCTAACTGTCTGGCAGGTAGAAACACAGAGGTATGCGAGGTCCTATGACGCAACCCTTTTTTGTCCCCCCAGAGGATTGAATCAGAGTAGGGGGATATATCCCCCTGGGGGAAGGATTGAATACCGCCCCAGATTTACTTGGAGGCCGTCGTCAGTTGTGGTGTTTGGTCTGCACCCGACACTTTCTCGCCTTTTGAACGGGAGGTTACGGCTATGGTATCTACTAGGATTATGTGTGCACACCATCATGTGTTTACTAAAAATGTACAAGTAATATGAGGACTTTCCAATTTCAAAGGACTCTCTGTGCAAAGCTGGAACCAAACCTACTTTATCCGCACAAACTATTCCACCATAGCCTTTCTCTTACCCCTTTTTTCAAAGGTTTTTTGGGTTCATTTTCTATGAAACCTTGTAACAGTGCGTTACAGCAATTCATTAGCTACTAACTTGACAGTCCGCCCATCACGAAAAGGATAGGATACGCATCGAACTATTGAGTCCAGGCCTTTCTGTCGATGCCCACATTCCGCATATCTTAAGAATCGACTAAGTTGAATATGAAGTGGGAGAGGGGTCATCCATTTTGGCGTGCTGCTCTTCGGCCTCTCAGCGGGGCGCTATCGTGTTAATACCAGTTCGGTGAGAGGCTCAGGGCTAGGCCTCTATTCTCGCTCCTCTCATACTAACGGGCTTCTGGGGCGTTTCTGCAGCACGGCGGGGCGCAATTTTTCAAGATGGCGCCAACCTTTCGTATATAAAAAGGTCCAATATTCTCATGGTCTAGATCTGTAGTGGCCGGGGTCAGACTCGATCCAGCGAATGCTAGCAAGGGCAGCAAGAGTACGCGCGTGCGCCGTGGTGTCAGACTGTGCGGCAAGCGGTTCGAACGATGCTACGCGTTCGACGAGCAAATGTGGGGAGGGACGAGAAGTCTCTACATTTCGCGACGTTAATCCTCGCCCCTTTCCTTCGAGCCAGTTGACCAGTCGTTTGAACCGGGTTCCGAATTAGCTTGACTTTCTCCATGGTCCTGCCGCGATGGTTGTAGCACAGGCGTTATAGACGGGTAAATGCCGTAGGATCAGCCTTGGAGAGATAAGAGACCGCGCGAAGAAATTTTGATCCGTGACACAAATGGTTCACAAGGCTTCTGTCAACCAGGGGGTGAGAGTGTAGAAGGAAAAGCAGACGTTCTTTGTGGTAGTGGGACTAAGCCTTTTGAAGGAGGTAAAGAAAGCGGAGATTCTGTAATAGTGCGCTTGTGTGAGAGCTCCCAGACAGCACAACAAAACGCTGAATTGCCTAGCCTCACGGTTGACAGATGTCCGGACTCCGGAGACTTACATAACCGGCCTCCTGCGGCCGCTTGTGATGTTGTGCCAGCTCGCGCAGCATTTATTTGCGACTTTCTGTCGCCTCGGTTTTTTGAAAAATAAGGTCCAGCTTTTAACTTAAATCTGAAGGCATAGAGTTAGCGCTAGTCTGCGCGAGATTACAGCATTCTGTTTGTTAGTCACCGCCGAGCCGGAAGCGACAACACATATAAGTGACAGGTGGACGTTTGCACAGGGCGACAAATCGCTCTCGATCGGTAAATACCCTCCTAAGAGTGAATAACAGTTCTAGGATGGGGTTTGAGTAAAAACGAAAACGAGAGCAGAATGAAGCACGACTTTTGTCTACCCCATTCGTTGATACCCGCCGTCAATCTCACCATCTTCTAACAGACCGCACGCTCAGCAGGATCCGGTTTTGTTAAATCTTTTGGGGTCTTTTAGGGTAAAAGTGAACTTCGCGTGAACTCCATTTTATAACAATAAAAAATTTATATATGTAACAGAGATGCACGATAAACTCATGAGAGGTACCCCCTGAGATTAAATATTAGCTCCAAATAAGCACATAGTATGAGAGTCCCTGTTGTCCTATACCTAATTTTTGCATAAATCCTCACCCACACGACGTGGGCTCCCGTTGTTTTTTTCGTTTTCTGTCAGTTAATGTTGGTGAGCTTACAGGAAATGTCTTCTTTTGTGATTTTCAATTTTTTTTTGGTTCTACGATGTTATTTCAGTACCTTTCACATGTGGTGGTGTGCTGACAGCGCAAGCTTTCGGACAGACGTTCTCCTCACCTCATTATCCAACCGAATACCCATTTGGGACCGAATGTGTTTGGACTATTCAGGCTCCAAAGTCGCAACTAATTACACTAAGTGTGAGTTCTTTACTCACAAAATAAGATGCAGAATAGTAACGAGTGGAACAGACCGGTGCAGAATGGTAGGGAGCAAATAGCCACAACGTTATGGCGACTTCGTCATGATTACGTACCGATTGACCTTGCCCACGAAAGGCAAAGTTGGCAATGATTAGTTTTTATGAGTGGGATTTGGAAATTAGGAAACTCCGTGGAAAAAACAACACAAAACTCAAAAAATCATTGTCGGCTCCAAATTCATTGCGTCAAACTGCATGAAAGTGTGATATTTAGATCGAGGATATATCACTTTCCACAGATGACGCTCTGTTGATCTACGACGGTTCATCACCGTCTTCCCCTGTACTAGCCAGGTTCGTCGAACTTCATTTTTTGTCTCTTTGTAACTTTTGTTGTTTTCCTTTGTGTATCTTTTTTACGGGACGAAGTCCAAAAAGAATAAAGGGTAAAGCATTCGACATTAATTCCCTTCTTAAGATTTTTGCGCCACGCATTCCACTTCCTTGTAGAATTCTGAACGCGATTTGAGTAGATTTGCTTGGTCCAGCCGTGTACCAGTTTAGAGCTTTTTTCCTCCCAGGAAAGTCGGGTACCACTAGTCTACCCTGAAGGGAGAAGATTTGCTCGGATTGTACGGCTACGACCCACGATTTGATCCCCGCCCCATGTGCCATGGCAATGCACAACCCTTGCCTGGCATCACTCCTCCCAAGGAAACCAAAGCATGATATGAGTTAAATTTGCAAGTCACGAGGAAAGGTCTCGAACAGTTTTTCCTACACGCTGACAGACGGATATTGAGTCACTTCCCAACACTTTCTTACCACCGAGACAATGATGCGAGCCGTCCCTCCTCAATGCATTTAATTGAGTCTAATGACAGTCTGTGAACTAATATATCACACAGTTAATTTCGCTTTTCCGTGTAATATTCTCTTCTACTATATTGAAACGATACGTTACGATTGTGCATTCTAGGCTTTCTGGCAACACCACCATCAATGAATATTTGGTGACTACACAAAACAATGTGTTCGTCTATTTTCCTGTCGAGCTCTCAAGGAAAAGGGGACGTGGTTTCTCATCGGATATAAACGCGGTATGGTCACAATAATGGTCACTTACAAGATTCTTTCCAAGTCAAATTGAAACTGAAGCGTGGGATCTGATGGAAACGACGGTGTTGTTGTAGAAAAGAAGTAACAGATTCTTTCAATTCTTCGCCCTCTCAGTTCTGCACTGGTCCGTTTCTCCGCTTTCTATGTTCACTTTTCCATGGATGCCCAAAGTTTATCAACCTATAGAGTATTAAAGGATATAAAGAAGTATCGACTCTCCAAATTGTACCTATTTCGAAATTCTTTCATGCAAATAATATGCGACTTTAAAGGTTGTGACGTCACTTTGCGCCAACCATGGGGAACGTTGCTGTCACCAGGAAGCACAAGAGTACCGTATCCTCCTGGTGTGCAATGTACATATACTGTGGAGCTTCCGGATGGCTACTCTGATCAGGCGCTCAGTGTTCATTTCAACCGATTCGATATTGCTCCAGATGACTCCATTAAAGGTTGAGCGATGTCTTTGAGACTTGCTAAGCACCCGACTTTTCAAAACAATTGTGAGTTACAACTTTTCCCCGAAGTTCTTAACCCATTGCGGACCGCGTGCTGCACCATGTGCAGCACGCCACCACTCAGAAACGATAGTAATCTTCGATTTTTTCAACATTTTGCTAAGTTACAAAATCAGCAGTTTACTTTTTCAGACACAGGATATATCACATATTTGCGTACTGGTTAAATTTTTGATAGATTATTGGCCACTGATAAAGAGATGACAAAAACCTACGGAGGTGCAATTATAACGGCGGTCCGCAATGGGTTAAAGTGGAAGAATCAATTTCGCCAAGGTTCCACTGCCCGTCCGTTTCCAAGGTCCTGCTTCGCAGTGAAGTGTAGCAAATTCACGAAATAGTTAATAATAATTCCTCCCAGTGGCTAGTGCAGCTGCTTCTACACTTGGTGATGAAATAGGTATAAACGGCGAGACGGTCGAATGTTAACTGAAACCTTTAAACCGTCATGCATAAGTAGTTATCTCACAGTCCACACAGCAATAACCGCGAAGAAAAGGGCGAGCTTTTAATGTGAAGGTCGACTTTTCAACAAACAGTTCTGTTGATGAAGCTAGGAGAAACCTTTACCAGTTTCCTTTTCTTCTTTCCACTTCTTTTCTTATGTAGCTATAGCTATTGTTTAGATTTATGAAGGATCCATCAGAGGCAAAGCTCTTCATGAAGGAGCAGGGTTCAATAATGATCATCGTCCACCCACTCAGTTGGTCTCAAGGCTCAGTAAAGCACAGATCGTGATGCAGAGCAACGCTGTCCGACAGGCGATGGGTTTCAACTTGACATATTCTCTAAGTATGTCTTTAGTTTCTACAATGATTTGACGCCTTCTTGGATTAAAAAGTGGGAAATTCGTGGGGCTCTCAATTTCGCTTCTCTTGGTTTCTGTTTTTCTCTATACGATAGAAGGAATGCTGGCGTAAGCCTCTGTACTCTTTATTTTGTCCATTGTGGAAAACCTGTTCAACTAGCATACTATGTTCCGCTCTGTCCTGTTTCAAACAGCGTACATGTTTTGCTCTTTCCATGGCTTCAACTGATGCTTCCACCACTTCTTTTATGAGCAGCCCACAAATTTCTTGATATCATTCTCCTATTTCTGGTGTTTCCTAAGCTCATTTCATGCCACAAATCGTACACGATCCAATAGACGCGATATTTTCTTTTTTATTCCGTATATTTTATTTGTTTTTTATTTAAAATTATTTTAGATTGTCCTGCACTGAAAACTCCCCCACTGGTGTCACTGTCAACGAAGTCCACCACCTATGAAACTAAAGTGAGCTGATACGTTTTGTTCATTCAGTTTTTATTATTTCGCAATTTATATTCCTTCTTCTGAATGTAAGAGCTGCTCCTAATTGCAGAAGTTCACACTTGTGCTATTATTCTGCAAGATATTCAGATAATGTTAATTTCAACTAAAAATGCTTTTTTCATCACCCGACAATTTCGATAAATCTACTCATTTCACCCGATGAATCGGTTCTTTCTGTCTCTGTACATCACAAATTGTTTAGGTCCTAGCTTTAATCCGTTTTTTATGAAATGAATAAAATGAAAAATAGAAATAAATAAAAGTAACATCCTTAACCCGAAGTGATAGTGAATTCCTTAGGTCGTTGTTTCGTGCCCTCCTGGTTTTGAGTTCACTTCTGGTCGAGGACGAGCATTCGATGTGCACTGTCAGCTGGGAGGCAAGTGGACGGAAAACGCTCTTCCAAATTGTCAACGTGAGTATGCTAATTTCTTCATTCATGGGCAGCACTATTTATACTTTTACTGGAATTCGGGTCAAAATCTCGAGGAACTTTCTCCACGGAGATGGCTTAACCTCCTGAGCGCAATTCATATCTATTTGGCATGAAAACAAAAGTTATCCACTACGCAGGTGCTGGCGCTGGAACAGCTACCAGTAACACTTACAGAATCGCTTAAAACTCCATATTGTGAGCAGTACGCTAAAAGCAATTATCGCAGTAACTTTAGCTGTGATTGTCGTGTTCTCATTTTTTTTTACAAGAACCACTGCATCTGTAATTGCGTCCTCAAAGTATCGGATGGGCTGGCGCCATCGATTCTTGCCCCAAGCGTATTCAAATGTGGTATTCGTAGAGATCAGAATAGTCCAAAAAATAGAGTTAAGCGCAAGTTCACTATTTACTGTGGACAAATCTATCGAAAATTCAAGCTCTGTTTGAAAAAAAAATGAAGCAGGGAAAGGTAAATGATGCCGGTGTATTTGTAAAATCACGTTATTAATCTTAACAAGGCCGTCATGAAAAGTGAAGCAATATTTCCAGCTGTTTATTGCTCGGCAGTGCCGCAGATTGCGAACGGCTTCGCAGAGTCGGCGACAAACGTTTCTTTTGGTGGTATTGCCAAGTACTCATGCTACAAAGGGTTCTCGTTTACATCTGGTAACGCTATAGAAGAAATCCATTGTGGTATAGATGGTAAATGGACGCCGGCGCCTCGATGTAGAGGTCCGTTCTTTATTTGTCTATTTCTTTGTGGTTTTTTTTTACCTTTTTTCTTAGCATATGAATGGATGTAATTGTATGGCTGAAAGTCCGGTTTTTTTTTCGCAGAAACAATAGCCGCCTTTAACAGACCGGACTCTGCTGTCTGAAGTCGATTTGCGAAATATCAGTTCCACCAAAAGGTTATTTGAGTAGCCGCGCGAATTGTGTTTTTCCGATGTTTTGGGAAATGTTATTATAATTGTTCACATGCGCTAGGTTACGAAATGTCATGTCGTGCCAAGCCTCAGTTTCGATCTGAAAAAGATCTGAGGGGAATAAAATCGCAGTCATCCACGGGCACTGTGTTTGAACATTTCTTGAGGCCGCTGCCGTTTGAGGGTTGTAACAAGTGAGCGTGGTTCCGAGACGACAGAACAAGGGCACCGCACAGGCACCAAGTGTAGTCCGATGTGGTCTAGTGGTTAGGATTTGCGGCTCTCACACCCGCAAGGCCCGGGTTCGATTCCCGGCATCGGTAGATAAGTTTTGCTTCCATTTTAAGAAGGATCCAGTAAAGAATGCGGCTTCTGGTTGCAACGTTACTCGAGTAGCAGCGTTCGTTTTGTGGGGGTCTTGGTTCTTCCAAATGCCAGAATTTCGATGAGCTTACCACATGCAAGTAGGCTCAGAGCCAACAATTCTTTCCGAGTTGTTCAGCGCCTGTTTAGTTTCTAATTTGTATTACTCTGTCAGCGGCTTTTTTTTGTTGAAGCTTACAATAGGAATGGAATCCGAAATCGGTATCAGTTCTTATGCTTATTGTGTCATTCCGGGAGAACATTTCTGCGTTCGTCCTGTCTCGCACACCACCATAACTTAGCACTCATGTGGTAATAGCTGTTGATCCATATACAGTCCAACGAAATATGAGAATACTTTTGATAGCTTGAAGGGAGAACGTTTTTATAATCAATTCAGCTGCAATGTGTCCTGCTCTGCTGCCGTTCGCCAATGGAGACCGTCGGCTGGAATTTGGTGACGGAACCGGTTACGGGACAGTGTTTCGTTTTGAGTGCCGCCCTGGATACCGACGTGAAGGTGCTGCCACACTGCTGTGTAAAACTGATGGCCAATGGTCGTTTGAGCAACCAAAATGCATCAGTGAGTTTTGCTTCAGCTGTTTTTGTTGTTTGGTCATGTATCTGGGTGAAAGCTCACCTGCTCTAACTAGTTTAAAAAGAAACGGCATTAGGGACTTTTTTCGAATGGTTCCTTGTGCAAGGAATGTAGTTGAGAAATCCACTAGGTCTAATATCAAAATCGCCTTCCACAGAGTTTTTCAAGGCCCTTAGTAAAGAATTCTCCATAATCTTTCAGAACTGACATGCTCCTCGTTGCCGAAAATCGCCAATGGACGCTTGAGCTTGCCGCAGCCTTTCCAGTTCGGCGATGCTGCACGTGTTCATTGTGATGCGGGATTCCGAGCCGATGGCCCAGAAGAGGTAGCTGAAATCATTATCTTCCTTTCTCTCTTCAGAATAAGCATATCGTCGGTTACCATTGGTTTATGATTTAGGTTAAATGCTTAGCCAATCAGTCGTTATCAACTGTACCTTCATGTCGTGATGTGAACGAATGCGCCGAAGGCTTGGCTCAGTGTCAAGAAAGCATCGACGAAGTGTGTGAATCTACCCGGAGGATATACGTGCCAGTGTTTGAGTGGTTTTCAACCTCAGTTAGGTACGCAGGCTATATCATTTTGATCATACGCTTTCATTTCTGATTTTTTCGAGATATTCAGCTTGCCCAACACCATCGGCCTTGGTTGCTTCATCGCTAATTACTTCATCTGAATCTGTGACACCCACGACATTATCGTCAGCTGGTTGGTGCGCAGCGAAGTCGGATAAACAACAATCTATCACCTTACACTTTACTGTCCCTAAAGTTATTGAGAAGATAAGGTAAGCTAATTAAAGGCCTAGTTCTCAGCATGCATTTCATTTATTTCTTGACGTTACAGGTTTGACAAAATGGCTGAGGGCGAAGTCACTTCAATTCGAATTCGCTACCACGAAGAAGAAGGACGACCGCTACGCGAATTAGCGGTCGATGGAAAGGATGTTTGTAACTTCAATTTTTGTTTTTTCCAGTGTAACAGCTTTTAGCTCCATAGAAGCTTGTGTAATCTATGCCATTTTGGTGGAGATGTCGCCGAACATTCCTATTGAACTCTTTCAGGAATTTATCGTGAACAGCGGCTCGTCTTCGGGCGGATTTTTCGATTTCCCTTATTCCATAGAATCTCGAATAGTGGAGATTTCCATAGCATCGTTTAAGTCTGCAGCATGCTTGAAAGTGAGTGCTACAGTATTTCGATTGTACTGAGTATTAATTGACAGCTAATGTTGGCATTTCAAGGAGGCGACCACGGCTCGCAGCATTAACTTTACATCGAAAACATCCATTGAGGATTCGTATATAGCAAATTATTTACGGGTAGCATTCGCTACGGAGTAAACACACCATTACGCGAAATGTTGCGAAAAGGGATGAGATTTTGGTGCTGTTCGTGAGGGAAAAATCAGTTTTAACACCTTTCAGATCAGCAAAATTTTCTCCTTGATAATCATCACTTTCGTTCCTATTTTAGTGGTTTGATTGGGGAGTTGACGCAATTAGCGCTCTCAGACCAAATGATCCCATGTAGCACTTTGAACTACAAACTGTAGTGAAAACATTTGGAATTTCGAGATGGAAAAAAATCCAGTGAAATTTTTACATGTAT